CCGCTAGCAGGTGAAACTAGGACTAGAGGGCATCCCTCAAAATAAAGGAAAGCAGATGTAGGACTGAGGTCAGGAGGAACTTCTTCACCCAAATTCTTCCCGTGTAGTATTTCCTTTCAAAAGGGTTGTGAATCTGTGGAATTCCCTGCCCAGTGAAGCTGTTGAAGCTACCTCGGCTGAATGTTTTTAAGGCAAGGCTAGATAAATTTTTGAACAGTAAAGGAATTAAGGGATATGGTGTGCGGACGGGTAAGTGGAGCTGAGTCTCAAAAAGATCAGCCATGATCTTATTAAATGGCAGGGCAGGCTCGAGGGGCCGGATGGCCTACTCCTGCTCCTTGTTCTCATGTCCTTATAAAAACTCTATCAAATCCTTTCCCATCAGCAACAACTCGAGCAGAGCTCCCGCACATGAAAAGCACCGTGGCAAATTTCTACACATACCAAGAAAAGCCATTGAACTCGAAACTCGATCTGGTTTCTCTCTCCACCGACGCTGCAAGACCTGCTGAGTTTCTCCAACATTTTTTTTAAATTTCAGATCTCCAGCACCTACAGTATTTTGCTTTTAATTAACTTTCTACAATGCGTCCTGATAAATGAACCTGAAAGCGCGGTGTTGAGCCCAAGTAAGTGGTCAACTCTTCCTGTGTTCTGAGGAAGGGTCACCGGAACCGAAACGTTAACTCTGTTTTCTCCTTCACAGATGCTGCCAGACCTGCTGAGCTTTTCCAACAACTTTGTTTTTGTTCCTGATTTACAGCATCCGCAGTTCTTTCGGTTTTTATCAACTCTCCTCACTTTGTATTGTAGCCTCCCTTCAGATCACGGCCACCATGCATTCTCCTCGCCGATTAGTTTTGTACCTCAATCCTGAGTACTGATGATGTGGATTTCCAAATTGCTTTGCCTTTAATTATCTCGGGCAGTGACTTGAAAGAAATTTGGGAATTTGCATATTAATCCTTTCTATCTGATTAAAGATTTAACAGCCATCTTAGGTTTATTGAACACCGCGTCGGTCCTGTGACCCTTTCATCTTCTGCTTATAAATTCCGAATCCGATGCCACCTCTCTCACTGACAACTGAAGAAGGAGCGAGATTCCGAAAGCTTGTGTCTTGAAATAAACCCGTTGGACTATCACCTAGTGTCGTGTGATTTTTTTGACCTTGTCCACCCCAGTGCAACACCGGCACCTCCACATCATCATTCTTCTGCAGTGCCACACCACGGCAACCTGCCTCATATTAACTTTTGAGTCCAAAATGTTCTCATGCACGGAACTCAATATCCAATGGCATTCCCTATTCGCTGAATCTTTCTATGTCTAAGTTGCATATTGTCTATTGTAATTTCGTGGCATCTTCAAACCTCTTGCTGTTCCTGCATCCTAGTTATTTATAAAAGCGGTGCGAAATGGAAGGCCCGGCACGGGTCACTAGGGAACATCACTTTCTAAACACAGTATTTTCCTTCATCCCCACTCCTTGCCCGTTTTCAAACCCCATTTTACTCTCTAAATTGTACAATGTAAACGCAGTATTAATGTTTGTAAGACAGGCATTGGGAAATAATGACAGATTCTGTGAAAACGTAAAGAGCTGTTTTCCAAGAGATGAAAAGAATGGCAAGAGAAACTAGACTCGGCATGGGAAGAAATCAGGATATCCCGGACTAAGACTAGACTCGCTGCTGATGGCAGGAGGACTGCTGTCGAGGGAACCTGGTCATTAACACAATTCCCCCAGCCTTATCCTCTCAGGCGGGTCTACCAGATTCTAATAAATTGTACAGCATAGTAGGAGTCGAAGCTGCAATTTATTGACACAAAGTCGCTGACTGAACTCGATGAAGCGCAGAGAGGGAAATGATCGCCAGTCAACCGGCTTCAGCAGGAATATAAGGGAAACAGGAGAATGCTGGGAACGTTTCTACTGGTCACCAAGAAAGGCCCAGGAGCAAGGAAACCGAAGCTCATCCTCAAGTGGTGTTGGATCCAGGATCCTCAGCACATTTACAGAAAGGTATTTCCTACCACCAGGTAGGACCAGAAACTCGTCATCAGCCAATAGAGGTTTTGGAGGAAACATTGAATCTCTGCGTGTTGCTCTCAGTCTTGTTTCCAGGAAGGAACTGGGACTTGCCGCCTATTCCTCATGGACACATAGATGCAATTCCAAGGAATTTTGAGGAAATGGATGTTGAAAAGCTTTCGCCCTTTACATGCCAGTATTTCCTGTTGAAATGTTCCTAGAGATAACTCTTCCCTGCATTCCAAGAGGAATAGAAATAGGAAATCGATCCCTGTCCTAACCCCGAGTGTGCACTTGACTCCTGTGGCCTTGTATCAGTTGCAGAAACTGAAGGGATGTTCTTGACTGGAGGGCAGACGAGTCGCTTTTAGCAGCTGTCATGGGTACAAATGAGCTCCAAGAAATCAAGAACAATAACACTTACTTTTCATTCACGGGCTCTGAATGTTGTTGGTAAGCTCAGTATTGTCCTTGAGATGGTAGTGGTCATTTGTTGTAATGTTGAAGGCGGATTTGGATCTAATCACAATGACCTAAGCTGTACTATTCTATGATGTTAAGGAGTAGGGATGTTTATTCTAGGTCAGGATAATATGCGACTTGAGGTGAACTGTTAGTGGATATATACTTCAATGGAAAGTTCGTCGAAAAGACCAGCATATCTTGAATGGAGTCACTGGGCAGAAATAAGAACATAAGACATGGGACGACAAGTAGGTCCTTCACCTTCGGCCTTGCTCCAGCAATCAATGACTGATCATGGCTGATCTTCTTCAAAACCATTTTCCCACACTTTTCACATATCTCTTGCTGGTTTTAAAATGTGGAGATCTATCAATCTCAGTCTTGAACATACTCAATGACTGAATCTCCACAGCTCTTTGGACAGAGAAGTCCAATGATTCACCGCCCTCTATGCAAAGAAAATTCTCCTAATCTTAGTCTTAAATGGTCTGCCATTTATTCTGACGCTATGTCCCATGGTTCTAGATCCTGCAACTCCATACAAGGAAAATATCCTTCTTGCATCTAACCTGCCTAGCCCTGCAAGAATGCTATATGATTGAATTAGATCAACTCTCAGTCTTCTAGGCAGTATAGTCGCAGACTGTTTAATCTTTCCTCATAGGACAATCTCCCTCCATCCCAGAAATTAGTTTAATGAAACTTTATTGCACTTCCCTCTGTGGCGAATACATCGTTCACTGGGTAAGGATTGAATAAAAAATGCATACAATAGCCCAGGTGTAGTCACACCAAGGTTTTTGTGGTAAGACAATTTTTATTCCTATACTGAAATCCTCTTGTAAAAAAATGCCAACATGCCTTCTTAATTGCTTGCTGAACCTGCATATTAATTTCAGTGATAATGAACAAGAACACCCAAGTCCCTTGAAGTTCATCACTTTTAAGACTGTAATCATTTAGGAAGTACTTGGTGTTTCTTTTCTTTTTGCTACCGACATGGTTAAACATTCATCTCTCTTGATACTCCGTCTGCCAAATTTTTGCTCACTCACTTAGCCTCTACAAATCCCTTGAAGCATATCTGCATCCTCCTCACAACTTCCACTCCTCCCTAGTTTTGTGATCCAACTGAAAAAGGTATGGGGATAGATCAAATATGGTTTATCAAAATAAAGGCATACCTTCCAGTACAGAGGGAGGCCATTCAACTCTATTTGTCCGTGCCAACTCTCTGCAAATACAACTCAACTAGTCCCATTCCCCCGTGATCTTGCATTTTTCCTTTAGGTAATCATCCAACTCCCTTTGGGGGTAATTATATAGTTAATAACACACCATAGATGCAACGCACGAACAGTGGAAAAGAAGCGCACGAAATACGATAAAACAACGAGATGCGGATGCTGTACGACTTAAACAAAACCAGAAATTACTGGAGAAATTCAATTTTGTTGAGATATTATAACGGGTTACCAAATAATCTTTAAATTCACAGTGAAATATTGGAAGCATCTGAGATATGAGAAGGAACAAATAAATACTCAGGGCTCCCATGGGTCACAGGGAGCAGTGATGAGTGGAGGGTGAGGTGCAGTGATGACAAATTTTCCCCAAGTCAAAGAATGTGATCCTGAAACACCTTGGGCATGTAGCCAGATGAGGAGAACTCTACCTTGATAGTCACAATGTGCTAATGAAAGGCCGAAAATGAAGAGAAAGATTACGGAAAAGTTGATTAGATAATATGTTAAACAGTATTAAACATTTAAACATTCGTGTTGCGCATTTTAAATTTCGTTGAGCTTTATAACGCGTTTTCAAATTTTTTAAAAAAATCCTAAACTCGATGAAAAGTGTAAAAGTTGTTTTGCCTTTGAAAACAGAATTTGGGATCCCAGCAGTTCGCTGGTGGCAATGGGAAGATTTGGGGATTTTAGGTTAAACTGTGTTCCGAACAGTCAGAACATCTCAAGTGGTTTACAATGTATCGCCAAGTCTCTTCGATTAAATATTACGAGTTTTTAAGGACATCAATCATGGTCTTAATTAAAAAAAAACAAAAATCGTTATTATAAACTGATATATTTTGGTGTTCCCTTTCTTTATGGAGCCGAATGCAACGTTAGAGTGCAGAAACACAGCAGGATTCAAAATACAAGCGACTTGGCAAATATAAACAAAACTAGAAAGAAAAATAAATATTTCAGTTGCATATCCAAGAAGCACTCCGCACCAAGTAGTCGCCTTTTTAAACCTTAAAGAAAACAATCGAGTGAAAAAAATGCTGCGGGTTTAAATGAGACATATAGCTTGCACGATGCTCCCTATTTTTATTTGTTGGTGCGCTCAGCCTAGCGGCTATAGGAGCCGGATCCAGGATGCAGGGATGGGAATGCGGACGGTCGATCGGCAGGGAAGTGTGTTTCGGGTGGATCCGGCTCCGCGCTGTGTGCTCCGTACCGTATTTTGTGGATCTCCATCTCCCCTCCCCCTCCGTGCAGGAACTCCAATCCAGGCTCGCTCTCTATCGCCTCAATATGTCTCAAGATGGCCGCCAATGTGGGATCGATGTTTCAATATTGGAAGAAATTTGATTTACAACTGCTTCAGGTCAGCAGCGGCCGGGGGGGTTCGGGAGGGCGGTAAGGCCCACGGGGTAGCCTGGGCTTTGGGTCTGGCCGGACAGTGGCGGTATTGGCCGGCACCGGGCACCGGGATGCGGGCTTTTTGTGATTGATCAGGAATTGATCCCTGGGCTGCTTTTGTGTTCAATCATCGATCAGCCGCCAGCAGCCAAGATGGCGCCCGCGATCTGATCCGGGCCCTGAGGCCGAGGCCCAGGCCTCGGCCTGGCGGCTGCAGGGGCACCGCTGTCCCACAGCTTATCGTAACTTTCCCGGCCGGGGGGGGGGGGGGGGGAGAAGGAGTCAGGTCGGCTGCCCCGAGGAGGAGGGAAAGTTTGAGCTGTGCCCGGCCTCTTCCCTCAGAGAGTCAGCACCGAGCGGCTTCTATTTGGAAGTGCGCCGACACTGAGAGCCTTCCAGTCGGGTGGGTGACCCCGCAGGGAGCCGGTCGGAGGCTACGATAGGCCGCGGCTCGGCCGGCCGTGTGAAGTGTGGAGCAGCGGCCCGGAGAGTCTGAAGGGGCGCCGGGATGGGGGAGGCATAACCCCGGCTCGAAGTTGCGAACTTTCCCCGGCCGGAGGCTCTCCTAGGGCCTGACCTCCGGAACTCGGGCGGACCGGCAGTGAGACGCGGAGAGCGGCAGGATCTGCTCCGCTCCCACACTGTGTCCAAGCTCGGGGGTTTATGAAAACTTTTTTTTTTAATCAGGACGTCAGACTAGTGAAGAGGGAGTGTTGGCGACGAGACGGAGTCCGCTGCCCTCAGCGGCGCCTGCAGCGTCTTACTGAGGCCCGTCACAAGGACGGACCTCGTCAACAGGGGAAGCTGGGGCAAGAATGAGGAGCTGTGTTGTAAGGCTAGACATTGGTGGGGTTCCGAAATTGGGGATCACGGGTTGTAATTGGCGGATCCGGAACTGGGACTGAGTGCGGCGATGGGGGGACCGGGACACGGTCCGGGGATTGGGGGTCAGTATTGAAAATTTGGAATTGGAAAGGCTGTGCAACTGGGGACCTGGGGCTGGAGAAGGGTTTAGGATTGGGGATACATGATTGAGCGTAGCTGGAGCAGGATGTGGGATTGAGGATGCAAAGCTAGAATGGTGGGCATTGGGGATCCAGAACTAGAACAGAGAAGAGATCGGTGGATGGAATGGGGTATGGCATTGGGCATCTGGTACGGGAATGAGTGCAATTGGGATTCTCGTACAGGGAGTGGAACTGGGGATCTGCGATTTGGACAGGATGTGTGATTGGGGATTAGTGGATGGATTTGGGTGGAGGATTGCGAATCTGCAAATGGAAAGGGTATGAGAATGCCATCCTGGGGCTGGAACAAAGTGTGAGATTGGGGTGCAGGATTGGGGGGGGGAGGAAAACCGCGACAAGGTCTGGCATTTGGGACCTGGAACTGGAACAATGTGGGATTTGGCAAAAGAGGGTGGAGTGGGGTGTGGGATTAGGCATCAGGGATTGTAAAGGAGTGTGGGATGTGGTATTTGGTACTATACAGGTGTAGGTGATTGAGGATCTAGGACTGCAACAGGGTGCAAGAATTGGGAATGTGAGACAGGTTGTAGGATTGAAAATCTGGGACTGGGAAAGGTGCCTGATTGGGAATCTAGGATAGGGAGTGGAATTAGGAATCTGGGATTGGGGTGGGGTGTGGGATTCTGAATCCAGTATTGCAATGAGTGCAGGTTTGGGGATCCCAGAGTGGATTGAGGGGGCTGCATTCGGGGCCTGAGGATGTAACGAGTGTGGGATTAGAGATCTAGTTTTGTAATGCGGTGCAGGATCGGGGATCTGACAGTATAATGGGGTGTGGTATTTAGAGAGCTGGAGTGTAATGGGACTTGGAATGGGGATCCGGGACTGGGGACCTGTGATGGAAAAGTGTGTGGGATTGGGGAATTCTGGGATGGAATGTGGTGCAGGACACGGGGTTTGGAAATTTAGTGGAGTGCAGAGTTGGGTTTCCTGCGCTGTAATGAGCAGCGTTGTCAGTTCAGTGCTGTAATGGAGAGTGGGCTTTGGGGATCTGGTAGAATACTGGGGAGCAAGATTTGTTGGCCCAGTGCTCTAATAGGGAGAGGAATTTGGGGTCTTCATGCTGTGATGGGATTTGGGAATGTCATTGCTCTATTGGGTGTGGGATTTGGGGATCTTGTGTCGTACTGGGGGAACAGGTCATGATTTGGGAATCCGGTTGCTGTTATGGTGGGTGCATGTGGATCTTGTGCTCTAATGGGAGCAGGGTTTGGGGATCTGATGCCGTAATGGAGAGTGGAATTTTGGGATTCGTTGTTATGGGGAATGGGATTTGGGGAGTTGGTGTTGAAGCAGTGTTTTGCACAATTAGGATGCTGGTGCTGCAGTGGGATTAGGGTGCTGGATTTTGGAACTGGTGGGGTAGTGGGTTTGGAGAGCTGAAACTGTAATTGGATGCAGTGATGGGGATCTGAACAGGCAGTGATGTCTGTTATCTTAGTTGTGTGCAACAAGGCCATTTAAGCTGCTTGAACATGATGCAGTTTTTGACATCTAGTCCTGTAATGGATTGCAATAATTGGGCACAGTAACAGCAGCAATTTATTAGGAGCTTTTAAGTACTTCATAAGAACATCATAAACCAAAATGTGACATTGAGATATTAAGTCAGTTGACCAAGAGCTAACTCAAAGAAATACATTTTCAGAAGTGCCTTAAAGAAAGATAGCAAGGTGGAAAAGTTTAGGGAAAGTATTCCAGAGCTTCAGGCTTAGGTAACTGAAGGCATGTTTACTGTTGATGGAATGTTTAAAATTGGGGATGTTCAAGATAACAACATTGGAGGTATAAGAACTGGAGGAGATTACAGAAGTAAACATTGGCAAGGCCATGGAGGGATTTGAAAACAGGAAAGAGAATTTTAAAATCAAGATGTTTCTTAACTGTTTGTCAGTGTTAGTCATCAGCATAATGATAGTTGGGGAATTGGAGTTTGTGAGTTAGGGATAGAGTTTTGCATGACCTCAAGTTTATGGAGGGCAAAATGTGGGAAACTGGCCAAAACTGTATTGGACTAGTTTAAAAGTGTAAATCTGATGCAGTAATGGAGTGGGATATTGGCAACCTCTATTACTATAAAATGTTGATGCTTGGGTATCTTGTATACCAAGGGGCTTCTGCCATGGGAATGTGTGGTAATCGGATGCTGCAATATGGTGAGTAAAAGGGATGAAGTGTACTAATGAGAATGATGTGCCGTAATGCAACACAGTGATTGAAGTCTGGAGTCATATGGCATAAAATAAGGGGTTTTCCTGTACTAATGACAATCGGTAGTATAGAGTGGTTTGAGTGGCATGGTAAATGAATGCAGTCATGGAGAGCATCTCTTGCACAGTGACAGTTCTTTGGTAAGTGGATACAGTGATAGATCTTAGGTAATGGTTAAGCAATTAAAATCAAATTGTTGGATTAATTGGTACAGTAACAAAGCCTTACCAGATGTGTTTATAATGTGGCTGTGCTGCACATTATAGGATCTGGCAAATGAGTACATTAGTGCAGCTTGGCTAAAGAAATGAGGTTGGACAGTCGTACTGTGTAGTAATGGTGCTCTGATAAGTGGATCCAACGTCTGGTATTGAACACAGGATGAGTGTTTTTGGATGTGAAGTTTTGAAGTTCTTTTGGTTGAATATGGTTCTGAGGTGTTAGTGGTTTTGGAGATAAGCTGAAATGACTTCTATTTTTGTCTGAAAATAGTTCACCTGTGCTTGAATTGTGCTCAAAAACATAGTTTGCATGGTGTGTGAACAGTTTTGACACACAGGAAAGCTCTTCTTGTAACTAATCAATTATGTGGGGTCTAAGATATCTTTTAATTTTCCCCATCTATGTTATTTAGAATATCTTAAGTGAACCAGACAAGTCACATTGTGAAGTAGTTTAACCATGTGTATTTTTGGACTATTGGTGTTTGTATTATATGTAATTATTTCAAATTTTTATAGTGCTTAGGTGGCAGGCTGAATCACTTTTTCATTAATCCTGCTCTGTTTGTTTACTGAAGCATACTTTGAAGATGAATTCTGACTAAGCGTGTCTGGTATGATAATCACAGTGCGTGTCTATGTATTGTTCCATACATTTTTACAGCTTTAGTGGGGGTTGGGGTTATAACCCTTTCACCCTTCTGATTTGTTCCCTGTTGCAGAAGCATACAAACATAGTTAAATATATGTGCTAATATTTTGAATATAATCTTTGTATTTTGAAGATAAATTAGCAAAATAAAAAGTGATTAAACATCAGCATTTGTGAATTTATTTGCGTAAACTAGATTAGTTTGGCTTCTGCAACTTTGTAGCTTCCTTTTTGTGAAAATGTTCTTTAAAATCTTGGAATGCACTCTTTAATTATAGAATAATTACCCTATGGAGATAACTTAGAAGTATTGTTCCTATTAAAAATATTTTGATTTTGTATGTGACCATTATGGGGTAATTTGCCCCAGTCACTTGAGTAAAAATACTGATAGAACGAAGAATGATTAGACCTGAGCTTCATTTAACTAGTGTATTTTTTATATATAAAAATACTGCAAGTCTATTAGATACTCATAACAAACCTGAAATTTCAAGGCTAGCTTTGGCCATCTGCCAAATGATAATTGCTGAGGTATGGGATGTAAAAAGGGTTTACGCTTGATGAAGTAGTTTTTAAAAAAATTGGACACATTAGTTCGATTATTTTCTGAGGCTGATTTTATATCTATTACTGTTAAAAGAAAATGACCATTCTCACCCCAGTTCTTGAGTGCAGTTCATTTTATGCAAACAAACTGTAGACTTAAGCAGTTTGGGGGGGAAGGGAAGAAAGAGAGAGAGCGCGCGAGAGACGGAATGAACCTTTCAGACTTGTGTTGAAAAGCACTGTGATGGTGCAGAGTGGTAAAATTCTACTTTCACACTATAATTACTGTGTTTTACACAAAAAA